CTGTACCGGACCAGGACCGGCAACGGGATCGCAACCCTCGGTGCTGCCCCCGCACCTCGCTCAGCCAGTGAGCGGGAACCGATCTGTATGTGGGATCCGAACCCTCGGCGGGAGCGCCACCGCGCTTCCCAAGCGGCGCACCAGCGCAGTGCGCCACCGGGCCAGCCCCTCAAATATATTTCTTTATAAATTACCCAGTCTATGGTATTCTGCTATAGCAGCAGGAAACAGACCAAGACAGGTGTTTCACCATGTTTACTCCTATGCTTTCTGAAGTTTACAAGGGGGAACTGTGAGCTACCACTGTAAGGGAAATGAAATGTTTCCTAACTTGACTGCACCTCAGTTCAACAGCCCCCCCCCATCTCTGGGGTAAGTACTGGCCTAAACACTCCATCTCTGGGTCAAGGGGCACAGGCTGAAGCAGTCAGCACGTTAGGTGCCGGTGGGGACTGCTGACAGGAAGACTGGCACAGCCTGCCTCCCTGGTGCTCCCCATGTCGTGCCCATTCAGGACAGGAACCACAGCCTGACACACTGGGCAGAAGCACTGCCCTGAAGCAGGGTCCACAGAGCAGCCCAGGGGTCAGTCTCAGGCCACCCAGTCATGGCTCAGACCACATGCGAGAGGGGGAGCATTCCAGCTTATAAGCCCCAGGCCATGAACAGGAACCATGATCCCTTGCAAGAGCCCAGTTCCTGCACTTCCAGAGCACCCCATGCAGAGGCAGAAGGCCCCACTCTGACTCCTTCCCTGGGCGCCTGGTCCACTCACCTCGCCCTGTAGACGCCGCCTCCACCAGGGCGCAGACCAGGTGGCACAGTGGATGCTGGTGCTCCGCTTGCTGGGAAGCTTAGGGAAGCACAGGCAGAGCTGGGAAGGTGACCCAGGGCCTATTCCACACAGGAGGGGAGTGTTTGGCCAACCCTTCACTCACGCAGATGGCTGTGCTCTCTGTTCTGGCACCTGAACAGAAGGCAATCTAACTCCACACCCCCTGCTCTGCTTTCAATCTCAGCTCTGCCATTTACTAACTCTGCAGTTGTGGGCCATTTAGTTTATCTTCTGTGTCCTGGCTCACCCACCAAGTCCCAGTGACTAGCATCATACCCGGTACCTGTTACCTCCAATAAATGCATGCATGAGTGAATGCACACATGAATGAATGCACACCAAGCAGGCAAAAGCAGGGGCAGCTGGCTACCTGAGGAAGGGAGTGAAGCCAAAGGCCCTGAGGGAGGGGACATGTGAGCTGTGGGCCAGGATGGGCAGGAAGAGCAGATGAAGGGGGTGGAGAGCACAGAGGTGGCTGAGGCCAGTGGATGAGGAGGGGACAAGCAGGCCAGAAATCGGGGGTCCAAGGAACCAGGCTCCAGCTTCAGGCAGAGGCATGAACGCGGCCCTGGAAGTGGCCACATCTCTGTGGTGTCAAGTTGGGTTTCTGACCAGTCCTTTCGGGGAGAAGCGTGTGTGCACCCCCAAGGTGGCATCCCGTGCCATCTTTCATGGCCTCTCATCACCACAGGAAGAGCTGAAGAGGTAAGAAAGCTGACCCTCCGAGTGGCAGCAGCAGGCACAGCAGCTCCACTCCCACTGATGGGGGCCACGCTCTGTTCCTAACTGGTTGGGTGGCCTAGAACTGTGACTTCTCTGTGCCTTGCTTTCCTCAGCCCAAGCATTTGGCCACGACAGCACACCCTCCCCAGGCTGCCTTGAGTCTGAGTTCTAGTCAGTGTGGCAGGAGGGCCAGAGCCTGACACCAAAGCTCCCACTTGTAACAGCTGCTGTTCCAGCAGCTGAGGGAGAGGCTGGGTGGCAGAGGCAGGCCGAGCTTGCCGACACTGACTCCCCTGCCACAGCCACCTTGCCCAAACACCCCAGGTCAACGCTCAGCCTAAAGAAGACATGCCAGAGATGTGTGTTAAGTCATTCACGGTCCACACCTGTGGACACTGCAGTTCATTACTGCACATAACACCAAGTCAAGAGAGAGGTGAACAATCTAATTCACTAAAACCAAGTACTGACGTAAAGTAAATCCATCCTGAAGGCATACTTTTTTTCCACTGCATAAACCCTTGCAATAAAAGAAATTAGAGGAAAGAATTCTCCCGCAGTACTGCTGACCCTACACATGAGATTCAATTCTGGGACAGGCAGAACTGAAATCATAGTATTCTGCTTTTTGCACTTGAAATCAATAATTTTTCTATGTTGCTGCAGAAAATGCCAGTGACCATCCGGTGAGTGGGCGGGCCACCATAGCCTTATCTAATCAGCTCCTTTTGGATACTTCGATATCTTCCATCCTTTTGCAATTAAGGACTATGCTGCATGGAACACACAGCTGACCTCTTCCCACCCTTTCCTCTAATTCTTTCATGGTCATCATTTTCCTGCTTCTTGGCACAGGTGTAACATGTGTAGCTAAATCCTCCTAGAAAGGGGCTGGGAATTTCGTGCTGCCAGTAATCATCAGTGTAACTCCACTCACTGAAACCCCCATGAATCCAGTACGCATGAAATGGTGTCCTGTTGCTTAAGATGCACGGTAAAATTTAGAGTTTGAGCGACCTTTTCTTCTTGTAGTCACGCTATTTGTCTATAGGTGTGGTGTTATTTCTGCAGTTTGCCGTGGCTCTTCCTAAAGTCCAGAGTGCCCAGGCCATCTCTGCTGCAAGCACTCACCCTCTGCCCTGCATGGTTTACTGCCCTGTTTGCTGGACACTGACCCCTTTGTCTGCCCTGCACTCTGGGCCTCCTTCCTCCATCCCACGTTTCCATGGCAGCAGCTCATTCAACACAACACCCCCCTCTGCCTCAGGCCACCTACTTTCTTGAACGAGGGAGGGATAAACTGGGAGGCAGAGGGAGCCGGTCTACGGCAAGAGAAGCATGAAACAGGGCAGAGAGAAGTTCAGCCTCCAGGAGGAAGGAGGAGCCTGGGATGGTGCCGGCGTCTGAGCGCAGGCTGCACTTGGGGTCCAGCTCCACTGCCCTGGCCTGAGCTCCTCAGCACCTGCTCAGCGAACCCTCCTCCTAGAAAGTCCGCTCACAAGGAGCGTGAACTAGCACAGGGTCCTCAGTTGTTTCGTGCCCGCTGCTCTCCCTTTCCTGTCAGGCTGAGGAATTAGCATTCCTCCAGGTAACAGAGTCAATTTCATTCTGTTAGACCTTCTACAACTAGGAGCTGTGCATTTAACTCTCTAACCCATAAATAATTGATTTTTGGCCCATTTGGAACATATTTGTATGGCAGAGGGGAATGAATCTGAAGTTATTCTTTGGGGCCAAGAGTAATTAGTTTCTCCAACATCATTTATTAAACACACTCCCTCTTCCCTCAGTTCTGGGGGACCTCTGTACTCATGTATTAAGCACATCTATGAATGGATGTGTGTTCTGGCCCTCCAAGGTGACATGCCTGTCAACCCACCCCCATTTCAGGCTCTGAGCCTGGTAACTGTTTACAAAGCTGCCAGAGCAGGCAGCTCCGTTCAGGTTTCCTTTCCTCCATTCATTCTGTCCTGTTTTATTACCAAATTAATTTTAATATCTGACTTAAGGGCAGCCATTCAATAGTAGAATTCTGTGATATTAATAAGACTCAAAACAACCTCTCCCATCTGTCAAGGCAGTGGCTAGTCCCCACAGCATGATACATCCTGATCCCACCTGACACTGATGACATACTTGCAGACACAGCACCCATGGAGTGTGCATACGCACACACACACATGGCCAGCACAGCATGGAATGAGCCGGGAGCCACTGTGGCGGGCTGAGGTCCAGCAGGCCCTTGGAATCAGACCCTAGGTGGGAATCTAGGCCCCACCACTTCCTCACTGTGGAACCTTAGTTAAGGAACTTGCGCTTAGTAAGCCTCAGGTTTCTCGTCTGTAAGATGGAGAGACAATAGTAGCCACTTCATTCGGTTACTGTGGGAAAACAGGTGATGCATATGAAGGACTCAGCACAGCACCCAGCACACAGGCAGCACCAAGCAGTGAGCTGTTATTCTCATCTTACTTTAGGACGCAGCACTGGCCCCTGCTCCTACCCTCTGAGACCCCACCCCTGTGTGGCCCATGCAGCAGTCAGCAAATAGCAAATGACAGGGGCCTGGCCCCAGGTTACTCTAGCTCCCCCGCACTTTACGCTAAACAGACCCAGGCAAGGCTGAGTGGCAGGGACAGTGACAGCACTTCAGCCCAAGGACATTCTGATTTTCCATCGGAATAACGTTTGATAGTAGACATTTATTTAACAAACTATGAAATGTTATTAAGGCCTAACATCAACACCAAGAGAAAATGATTATAGGCTATTTTGAGCACTAGACTTTCTGTCCAAAAAGAAATGACTGCACAGCAGGTAGGAGCTGAACGCTGTCTGGTTTCCCTGGTGCATCAAGTGCACAGCCTGGCGGGGAAGACCCAAAACAGGTGAGAGGGGAGGCATGGGGCAGGGCAGGCCAGGCAGGCCTCCTACTCAGAGGAGGAGCGTGGCTGTCCTTCCGCAGTCATGGGGAGTCTCAGAACTAAGCTGAGCAGCGACTGTCTAATATGCATTTTGGGTAGAACAGTCTGGCTACAGCACAAAGAATGGATTTAAAGCAGGGATGGATAAATTACACCCTACAGGCCAAATCTGTTCCGCTGCCTGTTTTAATAAAAAACATTTTATTGGAATACAGTCAAGCCCATTTGTTTCTATACGTGGGTACTTCTAAAAGTTCATGGAAAAACAGAATTAAAAGGTAATAGGAATCTTTCCATGAACTTTTGAAGACCCTCATATTTTCTACAGCTGCTTCCACACTACAACAGCAGAGTCGAGTAGCTGCAGAGACCACAAAGGCTAAGCTATTTGTTATCTAGCCCTTTACAGAAAAAGTTCGGCAACCTCTGATTTAAAGAGTAGAGGCCAGGGAACCAATAAGAAGTTACTGCAATTGGCAGAGAATTAACAAGGGCCTGAACTAGAGTGATATTCGAAGGCCAGGGAGCAGCAGCAGGGTGGAGAAACGCTCCAGAGGTGAAACTGGAGGAGGTCTGAAGGGGTGAGAGAGCTGCCTGGAGGACGGCTCTGGCTTCTGGCTCCAGTGGGACCATGAACGGAGACCAGGAATCCAGGAAGAGGAGCTGGTGTGGAAGAGGGAGAGGCTGCAGAGGCCTGGGACTTCAGGATATAAGCCTAAAGGTCAGAGATTAGTCACTGATGAGAATCACCTAAAATCCTGAGACGGTGTGATGTCATCCAAAGAGAGAAGAGGGCCCGGGACTCATAACTGATGCTTGGGGGCTACCAGTGGTGAGGGGCATGTGAAAGGAGAGAAGCCCAGGAGGCAAATGAGGAAAACATGAGAACAGGAGGCAGCCAGGGATGCAGTGAGGGGCGGAAAAGCCCTGCTGGGGACGGCGGTGTGCCCCATAGCACCTGCCTCAAGGAAGGCCCACCGACCCCTGAACCTGGACTCTCTCCCCTTCATTCGACCTCCCCTCTCTCTACCTTCTCATGTACGTGCTCAAACCAAAACAATGTTAGAAAAAAAGAGCAAATGTACTAACCTGATTCAGCTCTCAGTGCTAGGCCTTTAGCTTTTAGTCTTGAGTGAATAAATTCTTCTTTTTCCTAAAAGAAGATGACCGTCAGAACTCCCTTTCCCCATCTTTCCATTTTTCCTTGCAAAGGGCACAGTTCACAGTATTCTGAAGTCTGTAAATGAACTCCTGAGAAACAGCCCAGCTCAAAACATGTTTTTTTTTCGCCCAAACCCCTTTCAAACCATCAGAATTTGGTTAAAAGTTTCATGCCCGAAATAGGATTTGAAAACAAGATGTTCAATAAACTTAGGAGGCACTGTTTGTTTATAAATTCACAAAATAAAATTATAAAATCCAGAAAATAAAATTTGATTTAGCCCACCCAAATGGATAAATAAAGTTTAAATGTTTTTCTTTTGAATTAGAATATTTATACTTCTTTCTCATATGCTTTGTTCAGAAGTATGCTGTTAAGAATTTTGAATTCTCAGGAAGCACGATAACACATCACAGAAACCTGTAATTTCACAAACACACACATGTAAAACATGTACTTTTAATTCTGGCTCTGTTCCTCACTCCACTCCACTTCTTGAAAGTCTCAAGATCTGTGATTCCATGAATGACCAATGTTTCTTACACACAGTTGCATATTGGTTGGAAAAATTATACGCATATACAAACGCACATAGAGAGATGGGGGGGAGACAAAAGGAGGAACTGAGGCTACCAAATGACAGAAAGACAAAGCAAATACCAAAGGCTGAGCACCCCCAAGTGGCCAACTGCATTATTTCTCATTCTGATCAAAAACCTAAACTTACCTTCCTAAAGGTCAGATTCTGGTTTGCCCAAAACTGTTGATTCCATTCTTGTGTTTCTTGTCTTAATTCTCTAAGCTTTTGTTCTAATGGTGATTCATTTTCAGGGATGTAAAAGTGAACAGGTCGAAGATTTGAATACTTATCTGGGGGTCCTATCCAATCATGGCAAGATTTCCTTGGAGGGCAGAATCTTGAGACCTTTAACAAAATAAAAAGGATTAACATAATACTAAACGAATCCCTAGTATTATAAAAATCAACAATCTGGATTTACTAAAGTTCCTCATTAGCTACCTCTTTTTAAGACTACAATGTGCCCAGGGTGTTTCCAAATTAAAAGAACTGTAATAAATATTAATAACACTAACACCATATCAAACATGTTCAACAAATGGTGCTGAAATAATCTGACATCCTAATGCAAATATAAATGAATAAATAAGAATCCCAATCTGTATCTTGCACCACATATAAAATTTAAGTGGGCTGGCCAGTTCACTCAGTTGGTTAGAGCATGGTGTTATAATACCAAGGTCAAGGGCTTGGAGCCCCGTACCAGCCAGCTGCTCCTCCCCATGCCCCTGGCAAAAAAAAATTAACTTAAGATGAATCACAGACCTGAACATAAAACATAAAACTATAAAAACTTCTAAAATTTTGCAACCTTAGATTAGGCAAAGATTTCTTAGATATGACATCAAAAGAACAATCCATAAAACAGAAAATAGACGAATTGGACATCACCAAATTTAAAATCTGCTTTTCTAAAAGCACTACTAAGAAAATGAAAAGAAAAGCCACAGTGTAGGGGAAAATATATGCAAATCTGAAAAAGAGCTTATTCCCAGAAAATATAAAGAGCTCTCAAAATTCGATAACAAGAAAACAGACAACCCAATTTAAAAATGGGAAAAATATTTGAATAAAAATTTCATCAAAGGGGCCGGCCCATGGCTCACTTGGGAGAGTGTGGTGCGGATAACACCAAGGCCATGGGTTTGCTCACTGGGTGAGCGTGGTGCTGACAACACCAAGTCAAGGGTTAAGATCCCCTTACTGGTCATCTTTAAAAAAAAAAAAAAAATTTCACCAAAGAATAGATACAGATGCCAAACACATGAAAACATGCTCAACACTGTTAGTCATTAGGGAAATGCAAATCAAAACCACAATGAGATACACTGTACCTGT